AGACAACTTAGTTGGCATATTTAAGAAGTCTGACGTAGGGCCTATAGAGTGTCTGGAAGTCCGTACGAAGGAAGGTTCTCCGAGTCATCCGTAGAACGGTGATTACCTTTTGAGCCTACTTTTCACGGTGCAGTGAGAACATATTTTGAAGAGATTCAGATGTCCAAATTCTTTTCAGTATTTATCCTCATAATATCTTCTTGTCCATTCTCAGCACGCACGATAAAGGCGTTCTCTGAGTCTCCTCCAAATGACGTGGACGCACTGTTCGTCATTCAGAGAAAGGTGTCAGTCCAAAGACCACCGTTTCGCAGCGCCTACATCCATTTGAAGGGTGCTGGCATCCGAACCCCAGGATTTCAAGTCTTCTGCAAAAATTAGACATGGACTTGAAAGAGCATCTGGAAGGTCGTTAACGTGGATCACAAACAGAATGGTCCCAAAACAGAGCCTTGAGGAACTGCAATGGAGACGGGCACCTGAGAAGAGTGGACCGGGCCTAATTTCACTCGGAATGTTCTGCCTGATAAGAACGCCTTAATCCAGCTTAGGATATCCATTTGAATCCCGTAGGATTTGAGCTTGTGGAGGAGCGGGACGTGTGGGACTCGATGGAATGTTCTTGAGAAGTCGAAAAGTATGGTATCGGATTTGAGCTGTGGAGGAGCGGGACGTGTGGGACTCGATGGAATGTTCTTGAGAAGTCGAAAAGTATGGTATCCTTCATAAGTTCTTGATCCTTAACTTGGGTTTAGCTGTGCATGAATACGAGCATGTTCGCTACGTGAGAGTGGTTTGAGGGAATCTGCGTTACAGTGGGGATATCAAGTGGTTGATGAGTTTATTTAAAACGACCCGCTCCAGAATACATTGCATTGCTTTGAACGGTATGCTAGTGAGGCAAATAGACCTGTAGCTGCTGGTCGTTAGTCGGTCACCAGTTTTTGTAGATTGGCGTGACAATCGCTTTGAAGCAGCGGGAAGGTTGCCTTCGTCGAGCGACTGGCAAAACACCAGGTGGAAATGCTTTTCCAGCGTGAATGACGTTTCCTTCAGGATCCTTGGATGAACCTTGTCTGGCCCCGCCGCGCTGAAGGGGTTTGTTTTGTGCAGCAGTTGACGAATGTCCTCTTCCGTGGTTGATTAAAGGCAGTTCATAGTTGTGAATTGGCAAGCTTGATTGTGACGAGGTCGCTGGGGCAGAACATATTCCTGTATAGTTTTCCCTGTAGACTTCAGATACCAACATTGGGTCACTTGTGGGTCCCTCGTTCCTGCCTTCAAGGAGAACGCGTTTGGCTTCCCTCTGCGACGACGTCTCATATACTTAAACAGCACACTGTTTTGCTGAGCGAGGTCCAGTATCATAGTTTGTTTTCATATCTTCCATTGGCGGATTTCTGTTTACAGCAGTTCCGCATTTTACGAAAAGCCTTCTGTGTCACATATAATTCCTCTGGAAAATTAATTTGGACCCCTTATGCAGAAGATGCTGAATCGTCTCAAGTAGCTTTTTGTCCATCCGACTGCACACTGCTTTTTTGGACATCTCTTCGACTGAAGCTGATCCCAGTTTTAATTGTGCAAGGAAGCTACTCATTTCTGAGAATTCTGCACGGCAGAAGTTCCGAATCTACACCTGTGGTTCCGGATTTCTTATCCAGTAGCAAAAGAAATCAAAGATTAACACACGGTGGTCACTAGGTATCAGTGGAGATTTTATTAACACTTGATCAACAAAGTCTTTCTTTGGTGCAAGCCTTCTGTTGAACAACCGTCACCGCCGATGCAAAGTGTTCACTAGACCCGATTCGCTGTAGTTCCATTCAGGGGCTTTTGGAGCTTTAAAATCACCTACCAGCAACAGGCGTTTGGAGTGTTAATTGGAGGAGAGTTGTTCAAGTGTTTGTATGAGGGACTCGTCATTTGGTAGATTCGAGGGTCGATAGTAGACCACGCCGAGAAGAGAATCGGTCCCGCACAACAGGATTTGAATCCACAGTGTATTTCAGAAAGGTCGGAAAGGACAATCAAGATGGGAAGGGTCGCATGCAAGTATAAAGCAACCCCACCTGCCCTCCTGCTCTTCGGGTCAGTTCGGGAAATAGAGTCGCGGTCTGTCGAGATCACCGCGTCAGAGACATCTTGTGTGGGTCAGTTTTCTGTAAGTGCGATTATGGACGTCTGTTCAAAGCAGACCGACTGTTCAATATCGCAAAGATAATGAAAGACTTCACTACTATATGTGCTACATCCGAAGGTGGGGAGCTGAGAGATGTGCTACTAGAGAGGTTAATAACTGTTCGCCGGGTTTGAGTCCAAGGCTCCTAGGGGGTCTCTGTGGCGTACTTGTCTACTTCTAGCCTTGGTTCTTCTGAGAACTGACATTTGTTTGCAGGGGATTTTCTCCCCCTGGGAGTCTGGCTTGCGTTGGCCTTTTGCCCCTGGTGGACGTAGTTTTCTCCTCGTATTCGAAAAATTCGACCGCTGCTACTTGTAACTCGTGCAGTACCACCTTTTGCACGTCTGGATTTGTTGTTCAAGGATTTGCGGTGAACATGCGTGCGTTAAGTTTCCTGGGCTTTTTGGCGCGGTGTGACCTGTAAGGTTCCTGTATGAAGCCCTTTCAGGAGTATCCAACCAAGGGGTATCCCTATTAGTGGCACTCCTAAGAGGCTCGTTTTCGCAGAGTACTGCACCCTGAATCTAGCCAACAGCTTTTAGATGGGGAGGGGTTTGTGTGGCTTGTTCGACCGCGGTCGCTTTCCATTAGTGTTTTTGTGGACTCCCGGTCCGTCCGCGATTACCGTGGCCAACTCGGTGTATGTAGGAGTTTTCGGGTTTGTTGCTTTTGACGGATTGGGGCTGGGGGCTGACAGTGTCGCACTTTACGTGGTTGTGGTGTTCTCGCAGCAGTTCCCGGCGTCGAGGTCAACGCTTGTGATTGACCTCTCAGTAGACTTAGCTGCTTGTCTCCGCACAGCTGACCAAATCCGCCTTAGAACTTCTGAATTGGGTGTTGAGTTCACCGCTGCGCCTTTTCCGTTCAGTAGGGAAGTGAGCGATGATAATTACATATACGTTGTGTGCTGCGTCCACGCGAGGCTTGCCTCACCACAAGCATCACTTTCGTTGGTAGTCGGAGGGTCTCCGGAGGTTGAGTAGACGCTGCTATCCGGAGGTGCGGCCGGCTGCGTCGGCGTGCTTTTAAGAGTACAACGGTCTACAACTCCCGACCTAAAGCTACCACCTCGACGTAGTGATCGGGCTTGAGTGCACAATGATCCCGCCCGCTACACTGGCTGGAACTTCGTTCCACAAGGTTCATCAATTCCAGGAAGGCCAAAGGGGAGCAGCGGGACCCCGTACTACGAGTAATCGTGCTACGAGGCATTCTGGAGGTAAAGTCTTATTGCCTTCTGTGAAGGCATTAAAGCGTTTCCCCCGGGTGACCAGCATGTCCATATTTATGGAAGCAGCGAAGAAGGACGGGTTAGAAAATGTTGGCACCAAAAACCACACAATTCGATCGCCCAACGGTTGATCGCGACCGCCAGCGCATTATCCAGTACGGTCGAAATACTTTTAAAACCAACGTGTCCGGTGCTGCTCAAAAGGCGCCTGCTGTAAGCAGTCGCATCAGGAATGGGCCCTCGGGTTAGGCCACCCCCTGCAGCCGAGCAGGTCAGACTAATGAGTCATCAGCTCCGGGCAGGGTCCCCAAAGAAAACCCTACTGTCCGCTGCCTCATGGGCGAGACTAAGTCAAAGGCTAGAGGCAGGGTCCCTGAACGAAACCCTTCATCCTCCCACTGCCCCGTGGGTTAGGCTTTTGAGTCAAAGGCTCAAGGTGGGGTACCTCAATCAAACCCCCCTCCTCGGTTTGGGCAACCGGCAAGTATCATGCGCCCCGCGCAGTTCGGTGTCCACCGATGTCCCTCCCCAGCCTCTTCCCACCACACAAGCAAACGTCGCTGCGTCATTTGACTGTCAGTTATCTGACCGAAGGGCCTTATTCTCCTCGTTGCTTATTAATAATAAACAAAATAATACCCTTCTATATAGGAGCTTTTAACTTCCGCACTCTATGTCAAATTGGCAAACAGGCAATGCCAACTGAAATTTTACATTCCCTTAAAATTGATGTATGGTGTGTCTCTGAAACATGCATGCAAGACCCAACTGTGGTTATGCATCTCGGAACGCCAAAGATGATCTCAGCTCTTTCACATTTCTCCCTCCGTGTGTCCGGTGGCCCAGAAGCGATGACTCGTAGAATATGTGGTGTGTGTGTTGCACTTAGCCCCAGAGCTGAACACGCTTTGCTGGATTGGATCCCAGTGAACAGTATTCTTTGCACCATCCGGTTATTCAGCCCAACCAACTTCGACGCCTCTCGAAGTATTGGCTTATGCCCCATGGTCTGCAGCCCTGATGCTGGCTTTTCGACGTGCTCCGTTGCCAGTCGACGGACTTACTCGGACGGTTCTTTTGCGGGACCACGCAGTGGTGGAAACGAGCCAGGGGAGGTTAAACAATGACTTCGCAGTGAAGTGTGAAGGCCATTACCAGCAAACTCAGCTGCGCCGGTCGTTGCCGTCTTCCAGGATGGGAAACCCGAGACGGGCCTCATCAATGGTTAGAGACATTGTCAGACATGGCCCAGTAGCTACCTCAATGGCGCTCATGCATCCAAGCTATTGTCTTCAATGCATAGCTCCCGTCCCCATTTCCCCCACTTAACAGTCCTTTGAGTGTTGTATTTACGCAATACTTTATTAGCTCCCGCCTCCAATGCGCAGGTACTTACCCCACCTCCCCAGATCATCGGTGAACGAAACTGTGACAGCTACAACCACTTTACGACAAGTACGCAGTTCTTACAGATGACAGTAATGATGATGATGAATCTACAACTACCATCGGTGTGGCCATAATTTTGAAGTCAGGTGAACTGTCGCCAAGCGGAATTTTTTCACGCGCCTCCCAGTTTTCGCGCTCCTAGAGAGCAGAAATCGCGACATCAGATGCATTAGTTTCGAGCACCAAAGGTATTCTCGGGTCGATAGTGACCAACGCTGCATCCATCAACTCCTTTTTCAAACTTTCAAATGCTTTTATAACAGATTCAGGGACAGGAAAGGTTGTATTGTGAGTAATTGGGTAGATCTTATCCGAGAAACGGCTTATCCAACGAGAATAGTACGCGAACAATCCTACCACTCGTTGTTGAGACTTGA